CCCGAGGCCATGGAGGTTGAAAAGCTTGAGGACGAGAAGCTTGCCAAGGCCATTTTCGAGGAGCCCCACGCCGAGTCGGACCAGCACGCTCAGCAGGACCTACCGGACCAGCCCGTGGAGCCCGAGCCACAGAGGCATTGTATGGGAGCATGGTTTCTGCAGGGAAAGTCTAGGTGCGCCCTCCCGCAGGTCTAGGTGCACCGGAGTGGCCGGCTCTCCATCATTACTCTAGCTTCGTTGCGTATGATGGGTCTGACGTCTCTGCAATGATCTCTCAGTTGCCAAAGTTGTTAGCTGTGTTCTTGTCTGTTGAGTGCAACTTGACAGTGACCCAACAAGTCCGTCTTTTGAGCACCGCAGGCCCAACATCAAGGCATCAAGGTTTTCCGGGTTTTAGCTTGTCTTTGTCTTTGTAGGAGTGCTGATGGTGACCCCACATTGAGGATTTCGGGTTTTGAGTTCTACAGGACAGAGTCGACATCAAGGATTTTCGAGTGTAGATTGCCTTTGTCTATGGAGCATAAGAAAGTAACGGACTTCGAATTCCTGAAAATTCTTGATGTTGAAGCGTTGTGGTTTAATATTCAGAAGACGAAGACAGCTAAACCGGATATTCTTGATGATGATGATGATGATTTGAAGTACTGTCCTCAGTACAAACAAGCTAAACTCTTAAGTTCAGCTTGTCTTTAACTTTCGATTGTTGAAAGGGCAGTTCGGGTTCAGCTTGTCTTTGTATTTTGAGTGTTCAAGGACATTGACTCGACATCAAGAATTGTCAGGTTAAGCTTGTCTTTGTCTGTTGGGTACTAAAGGACAGTGATTCGACATCAAGGTTTTTCGGGTTTAGCTTGTCTTCATTTACTACAGGATGGTGACCCAGGGATCGTCGTGTTTAGCTTGTTTTCCTCTTTGAAGGTCTACAGGACGGTGAACCAACGTCAAGAGTTTTCGGGTTTAGCTTGTCTTTGTCTTTTGAATATTGACAGGACGGCGACCCAACATCAAGGATTTCGGGGGTTCGTGTTACTTGACGACCCAACATCAAGGATCGTCGGTTTTAGCTAGTTGTCTTTTGAGTATTACAGGACGGTGAGCCAACATCAAGGACTTTCGGCTTAAGCTTGTCTTCGTCTTTGAAGTAGTACAGGACAGTGACCCAACATCAAGGAATTTCGGGTTAGGCTGTCCTTGTCCTTTGAGTACTACAGGACAGTGACGGGATTGAGTTGTCCTTGTCTTTTGTGTACTACAGGACGGTGGCCCATCGCCAAGGATTTTCGAGTTTAGCTTTTCTTGGTCTTTGGAGTACTACAGGCGGTGGCCCAACATCAAGGGTTGTAGGGTTTAGCTTGTATTTGTCAGTCGGGTACTACAGGGCAGTGAGTCGACATCAAGGATTGTCGGGTTTAGCTTGTCTTCGTCTTTTGGGTACTGCAGGACGGTGACCCAACATCAACGATTTGCGGGCTTAGCTTCTCTTTGTCTTTTGAGTACTACAGGACGGTCCTGGCCTTTTTGAGTATTAAAAAGTGACCGCCGCTAAGCGACCCAACATCAAGATTTCTAGGGTTTAATTTGTCTTTGTCTTTTGAGTGTTAAGGACAGTGGCCCAACATCAAGGATTTTCGGGTTTAGCTTGTCTTTTGAGTACAACAGGAGGGTGACCCAAAATCATTGATCTTTCGGGTGAAGCTTGTCTTTGTCTTTGGACTACTACGGGACGGTGGCCCAACATCAAGGATCTTCTTTTGAACATTACAGGACGGCGACGCAACATCAAGGATTTTCGGGCTTAGCTTGTCTTCTGTTGAGTACGAAAGAACGACTCAACGTCAAAGTTTTTGGGCTTTAGCTTGTCTTTGTTTTTTGAATACTGAAGGACAGTCAGCGACATCAAGGATTTTCGGATGTAGCTTGTCTTTGTCTTTTGAATTTTTTCGGGTCGGTGGTTCAACATCAAGGATCTTCGGGTTTAGCTTGCCTTTGTCTTGCGAGTTCCAAGGGTCTGAGATTCAACATCAAGACTTTTCGAATTTAGGTTGTCTTTGTCGTTTGATTATAAAAGGGACAGTGACTCAACATCGGCTGAAACTTGTCTTCGTCTTTTGAGTACTAAAGGACAGTGGCTCAACATCACGGATTTTCGGGTTTAGATTGTCTTTGTCCTTTGAGGATTCAAGGACGGTGACTCAACATCAAGAGTTCTTAGAGTTTAGCTTGTGTTTGTTTTTGAGCACTAAAGGACAGTGGCTCGACATCAAGGATTTTCGGGTTTAGCTTGTCTTTTGAGTAGTACAGGACGGTGACCCAGCATCCTGGATTTTCGGGTTCAGTTTTTCTTACTACAGGACGGTGACCCAACATTCTGGCTGCCTTCGCAAGCGGGCTGCCCGGAAATCGAGGGTGACATACTCAAGGAGGAACAGGTTGTGCTCCATGTCAAGGACACCGCCGCGATCATCGCTTCCCGGCTCCTTTACCTCATGGCTATCTCGAGAGCCTTTGAGCACCGCTCGTACGACTACTTGCAATGTCGGATAGACAAACCGGTCAGCATGCATGGCCTTGTGCATGTACCACGCGCCTTCAATCCACGACTGCTAATAAGTAGGGGGCCGTCGAGGATGACATGGTCACAGAAGAGGCTAAAGGAATGGGTAGCCACCCAGGGCGCAAGAGTCCCAGAAACCGTAGGAGGAAACTGCGAGAACTTCTTGAGCAACGTTCCTGACCCTTTGGATCGTTTTCGCCCAACCATCACCTACATGGTCACTGCGAACCACCCTCCAGAAATTATGGATCAATTCGAAACTTTGGCATGATGATGAACACCAGCGACGGCATTCCTGGTGGTGGTCTTTTCGCCAATGTCTGGTCTAACAAACATTCCGCTTACCTGGGATACCCCTCTAATCCATGTTTTGTACAGTGTGTCTCACTGTTGCCGTAGGCTCAAGGGACGTGCCGTTACGCCGTGCAGTAGTGCCCAGCAAAAGTGACCGAAGGGTTTGTATGTGCAACCAGGGTCTGGAACGAGCCCGAAATCGTTTTGTGATAGCGGAGCCAGAGGTTCTGACCTTTGGTTCGAAGTGAGCCCAACGGGAGAAAGAGTTGTGAAAGAGAGGAAAAGAGCCTTGGGCCACGGTGCCACCCGTTGGCAGCTGAAAGAGATAGACTTCGAGGAAAGTCTAGGTGGCTCTACCGTGCATCCAGAGCTACCTGAATTTCGCCAGTACCAGAAGGAGAAGACACTCCAAGTGACACGCCGATGGCAGCGCCGCCCGGTGCAGGAGAAGCAGCACAGCTGCAGAACTTGATAGGGAATCTGGCTGCGGCAGCTCAGGCGTTGGCCGGTGCTGCAGGTTCTACGGGAAGAAGCCAGAAGAGTTACGACTCTGCCGCGCCGCTGGTAAAGGGTCCACCAGTGACATCTGGAAGTGATTTCAGATTGTGATTGGGCAGCTGACCGAGAAAGCAGCCAAAGTGTATCGTGTAGTGCCATCATGTTAAATGGTAACCTGATCCAGTTTCAAATCAAAAGACCAAAATGTGTAGGGTTGAGTTCTTGTGAAGCTGAAACGATAGCAGCCACATCGATCTTGTCAGAAGCAGTTTTTTTGAAAAGATTGTTGACAAGGTTCTTGGGTAAGGTGCCCAGGATGATTCTTTTTTCAGATTCAAGCAGCTCAAGACAGCTGATTGCAAGAAAAGGGACTCGGGGAAACCCGACATCTGGATGTGGATTGCTTCTGGATTCAAAGGATCGACAATCTGGAGATAAAGCCGATTAAGGGTAAAGACAACCCAGCTGACCTGGGAACGAAGAGTTTGACAAGAGACAAGATGAAGAAGTATATGGTGACGATTGGGTACATTGGCGTTACCTCGACACGGCAGAAGTGCCAAGAGAAGAAGAAGTGGAAGTGAGAAGAACAAGAAGACAACCAATGGATGAAGAAAGGCTAAAGAGAATCATTCAAGCTGTGACAATGGCTGTTATGGTTGCACTTGTGGAAGCCCATGGCACGGAAGATAAGAAGAGCAAGAAGATCAAGGGCCGAGTTTTGCTATGTTGGCTTTAGTCATGATGTTGATTGGCTGTGTTTTGTGCAAGCTGAAAACCTTGTGTGCCGCAGCCGTTCTCCTCCCGGAAGAAGGGAGAAAGAAAAAGAGGAGAAGAGAAAAGACAAGAAAAAGAAAAAGAAAGGAGAAAAATGGCTGAGGAGTCTGCTGCAAGCCCTCCCGAGCAGCCTCAGCAGGAAGGGCCGGCGGAGGAAGCGCCGGAGTCCGGGGGAGGTGCATATATAGATGCACTGAACTATATGATAAAGAATGAGGAGAAATCTATAGAGGCAATGAGCTTGTTGGAAAAGTGGTTGAAGAAGAGTAAAACAGGAGGACAGACGAGCTTATATGCACTCAGGCGCCAAGTCCTCGAGCTCAACGAGATGCGCGAGGACCCGAAGACAGAAGGCGAAAGCGCTGAGCCCCAAACAAAAGCTGGAGTACCTGAAGTACTCGACGACCTGCCGGTGCAGCTTAAGAAGACCGGTGGAAGCGAAGAAGGCAAAGAAGCCAAGGAAGGCGAAGAAGCCAAAGAAGCGAAGAAGCAAGAGCAAGTGGATCTGCCCAAGGCGGTGTTATGGCCGAAAGAGTGGAGCAGCTGGAAGAAATGAGGAAAGCTAGAAGAAAAGGGCGTTTGAGCCGAGGCGGTGGTGATGATTCGTCGTCATCGTCGTATGAATCAAGCTCTGAGAGCGAAGAGAAGAAAGATGCAGCAGCAGAGAAAGAAGAAGAGAAGAATGCTGCAGAGAAGGGTAAAGGAGAAGAAGAGTTTGAAGAGATAGAAGTAGAAACAGAGGAGAAAGATGCAGCAGCAAAGGAAGAAGAAGAGAAGAATGCTGCAGAGAAGGGTAAAGAAGAAGAAGAGCGCAGAGTTTTCGACCCAGATACAGAAGACCTGTGGAGCCTTATGAGTGCCTATGATGAATGGTTAGAGGTGGACTTCAGGCAGCTAACGGATAGAATCCGGATAGAAGCCTCCAGAAGCGAATGGAGGAGTTCATGGCGTTGGTAAGACTGCCGCCAGGGCAGTGGCAAGATGGAGAAGCAGTAAGGCTGGAGGAGCTACTTGGAGACCTAAGGGTCAACTTAGAAGACACGCGAGCAAGCCAGCAGATATTCGGTGAAGATATAAAGCGCGAAAGCAATGAAGCTGCGGAAAAGAGAGAAGAGATTCGCAAGCAGCAAGAGAAGCTGGATGAGGAAAAGGAGAACCTTGCCAAAGCTGAAAGTATCGTGGAAGAGACGAAGCAAGGCAAAGCGATACTAGATGCCACTGAGGCAACGGAAGAGACTGCTGTGGAAATGCTGGATAGCATCTTCGATTCGATAAGAACTATCTGCGATACGAAGAAAGAATTTAGGCGATTGTTTAGTCAGATTTAGTCAGCAGATAAAAGAACCCAGCAAGCTCTTCAAGCTATCGGTTTCCACCCTGTTAAAGAAGACGAGGCAGCAGCGAAGGTGTGAACGCGATGTTGAGAGTACGATTACTCTTGCTGATAGCGAAGGAAATCCTGTGCCAAGCAAGACGATGGAAAAGATGAAGAAGAAAACAGAAGATGAAGAAAAGAAGAAAGAAAAAGCAGTGCCGACGCCAAAGAGCGTGCCGGACGTGCTAAAGCGAGGGAATGATGCAGGAAGCAATGAAGCAGCAAAGACCGAGTAAACATCGGTGACCAAAAGCCGGCGGAACCCGCCGGGCCCCCACCGGAAAAGCGCAAGAGAGGCGAGAGCTATACATGGGAAGATAAAGAGAGAAAAGGAAAATGGTGGGAGGAAAGAGGAAAGGACAGACAGTGCTACCGCTGTCTGGGCTATGGACATGCGGCACGCTGGTATACCTCCCGAAGGGGAAAGGAAACGTTTAGGGATGCCAATATTTTGCAAACGTTGCTTCCATAGGCGAACCAAGAGCCCTACCCGGGGTGGGGAATACACACGTTCCAAAGATGCTACTTCGGAGAAGAAGATAGAGGGTAAGAAAGCAAGCCGCTCGGGAAGCGACAAAGGTATGTGGATAAAGAAAGCAGTGCTGAAATCCACGAGATAAAGGATGATGAAGAAGCAGAGAAAGAAGAAAGCGATCCGGTGCACAAGAAAGAAGAGAAGAAGAAGGAAAGCAAGGAGAAGGAAGCAGAGAAGGAAGAGAAGAAAAAGGAAGAGCAAAAGCGAGAGAAGAAGGATGAGAAGGAGAAGGACAAGCGCAAGGAGAAGACGAACAAGAAGGAGAAAAGAGATCTGAAAGCAAAGCAAAGAAACAAAAGAAAGAAAAGAAAGACAAGAAGCACAAAGAGTCCAAAGGAATGGTGGACGAAAGAGATCTCTAAGGAGGAGATTAAGAAAAGGTTGCAAGCCGGTAGGAAAACCGGTAGGAAAATACCGAAGAGTGCGGGACCAGCACTAAAAAGAAGGGTGGTGAAACAAGTGCTCAACAAAAGAGCAAGGCACCCTCGGTGCAAAAGTACGGCGCGCAAAGCGCCAGGAAAACAAAAGAAGCTGAAGCCGGGACGGTAAAGTCTAAGCTGAAGCTAAAGTGTTTCACCAAAAGCACAACGTGCGAGAGCGTTTCACGCCGCGAATTCGTTTCACAAAGCCGCAACAGTACGTGCACCAAGTTTCTGAAAAGTGAGCGTTAGTTTCTTTAATTGGTTGTTTTAATTGCAACGGACAGGAGTGTGTGAGAAGAGCCGAAACTTGAAGACGCATGTGGTAACTGTAAAGGCAAGTGAACCACGCAAGGACGGAGCTGTCTTGGAAAGCTCCATGGAAAAGGTGATTCAAGAGTTGGTGGAAGTGATATGGAGATCATGATGCCAATGACTTTTTCGTGATGGTGATCGACTGGAGGACGTTTCTACAACGCTTCGGCGAGTTCACAAAACTTTGGCAGCCGATGCCATTCAAAGAAAGTACACGCAAGCACTAAAGTGAAGAATGCCACTCGAAGGAGTGCGTGTGAAACAGGAGTACCAGTACCAGAAGCGTCGAAGGACGGAAGACTCATGAGTTGCAGTGTAAAGTTTGGTCGGATAAAAGGTAATGCACTTTTGATCCGAGGAGGCGTAACAAACATGTCAATTGCCACTGCACGCTGTTTTCCTAGTGTCGCGCATTGTTGACCGCAGGTTCTGACTAGGCTCAAACGAACTGAGAAAAGTCGGGACCATGTGTGGTAAAGAATTGGGTCCTTAAGGTTTGGCTTAAAACTTTCATTTCGGCAGCCTGGATCCAGATGAGAAGCTCTAGCTGATGTCGCCATCAACTATGCGCGCTCGTGTTGACAAGCTTTTAGCGGCCTTAATGCTGACTCGAAATCTGGCTCCAGGCGTAAAAGATTTTGATCTAGGTTCGCTTCGCGCCGGAGGAGCAACCTGGATGATGCAGGTGACGGAGTCGCCTGACGTGGTCAGAAGGCGTGGCCGCCGGGTCTCCAACCGGGTCATGAAGATCTATGTGCAGGAGGTCAGTGCCCTGATGTATCTGCCAAGGCTGCCTTCAGACATCAAAGGGTATATTTATCAGTGGGCTAAAAGCTTGAACAGCTGCCTCGACACCGCAGCCAAGTCTTCGGCCTACAAATTTTCTCCGTGCCACTGGCACTCTTTGCTGCATCAAGGCGTGGTCATGGCATGAGATGCGGGTGACCTTTTCGACTTATGTCACGCGGAGCTGGCGAGGCGTAGGTTTGTTCAGGAAAGGCGAAACTAAAATGTAGCGCATTTGCATTTTTTTCATACATGGCATTTTCGCCTAGGGCGATTTGCTGCGCTCTTTTAACTCTTTCTTTTTCGGAAGTGATCTTCTGGAAACCTTGATTACTCTGAATGACTTGGACATTGGCTCATGAGGGTGTGGCTGGCTCGCCACATGTGAAAATTTTTGACCCTCCCTCCCAACCCTACTTTAACGATGAAGATATGCAATAAGGAACGGGTGTGGCACAACTGTACAGCATTCGCATAATCTTGCGATCGTTAACCTGTGACCCTTCGAAGCAGATGCAAAAGTGAAGGTGGATTAGTGATGATCCGAAGCGTGCACTGCTGCTCAAGCTTCTCCCGCCCTCCTGGCCCGACCCTTCGAAGCAGATGCAAAAGTGAGGATGAATCATTGACTAGTTTTACTAGTTCCTACCAGTGGGAACAGTTGTTGTTTGTTAAATCGTGTGCTATTTTATGACAGTTTTTCCGAGCATTCCTGCCTGGTGTTCTCCTATTTCCCGTGTTTCTTTCGTGTTTGTATTATGTTTTCTCTCCACTTCAGTTCCGTTTGTTTGCTGTTGTTGGCTTGACTTTGGTACAAGATACGGACATAAATACGTCTGATATTACATGGATCAGCCGTCCACGGCACAAGTACGGCCTGTCAGTGGTTTGTCAGTGGTTTACAGTACGCAAGAATCAAAGCTACGGTTGATGCGCTAAATCCTGCACGAATTTGAACATCTCCACGATTCCGCTGCTACCCCTGATTTTAATATTGCTCTGACGCAGGGGCTGGAAAAGGGTCTGTGGGAATGCTTAGAATCCTGCATGACCCATGGGGATACAACATTGAAGTTCAGGTGTTGCGGGGAAGTGGACAGCACGACATGGAATATGTGCGATGTTGTAGGTCATGCAGGGTTCTGGGCATCAACAGCATGAGTGTTATTAGCAAGTGAGAAATACAGTTTTAGGCAGCTTAACAAAAAAATCCAAATTGCGTGAAGTATTGCTCAGAAAATCATGGTCATACTTCAAGGGTTCTGAAGTTGCCAGGATTTCATGGCCAGACCACTATGCCATGGCGGGCCGGGCGCGACCTGGTTCTAAACCAGCGATGCAGTTGTTGCCGCTACGTCTTGAAATTCAGCGTTTTCGGCGGGATTTGCAAAGCCCTGTGAGTGTTGAGGGTCATGTTGCCTACAAGTCGCATGTGGTTATGAAGACTCTAAACGTATGCAAATTCATTGCCCAGATGTAGAGCACAGAGGGTTTGAGCTGCTTGCCTGATCTTGTCGCATTCAAGGCCGATGGCACTGGGTTGTCCATGGTGCACTCGTGCTGGTCTCAAGATGAATCTGGTGAGCAGTAGGTGTGCAGCTCACGCCCCTCACTCGAGGTATCCCGAAATGCCGGGATCCACCGTGCTTTCTGCTGACGGTCTCGCCTGGAGGTTGCTTCCCATGCTGATGCTCGATTGTCCTGCATGCCAAGCTGGTGGAGACTGTCGATTCCTTTGTCGAGTGGGTGGAGCACAGTTCTCAGGGACACATGATCACACTTTATGGACCCGGCACAAGGATGGTGACAGCTTAGTTCGAACGACGGACTTCGGCGCAGCTAGTCACAGCAAGATCCTTAAGAAGAAGAAGAAGAAGCGTGGATAGCACGTTGAATTATACATGGGCACCGGCAAGGGGGTCGACTGAAGTTTAAAGACGCACGGTGTCTCTTCTGTGTTTTGCGTTCAGCTAAGGCCTCACCTCAAAGTCACCCTTGTTATTCATGGCCCCGATACCCCCAGCACCCCCAAACCCCCCCAAGACCTCTCGACCTTGCAGCCTGGCACCCATAGTGAAGTACAAGCCTTCCATGCACTAGTAACTAGTAACCACAACGGAAAAGCGGGGAATCGGTAGTAGATGTGGGGATTCGGTGGCGGCGATGCCAGGCCGGTACTCCAGCTGGTCACCGACGTCTGTCTGCAGCTCAGAGAAGTACAGCAAGACATAGAAACCTTCACGTTAAGCGCCCCGATTCGTCTATGACAAGAGATCCTGCTCGGCTGCAGGACATGCAAGTTCACCTGCCCGACGTGCCCCGGTTCTCCAGCTGTGATGGCAAGTGCTAAGGCAGGTTCGGTCGAATCGGCGACTGAGGTCAGAATGAGAATGGGAATGGCTATCGGGTCTGCACCGAAGAGGCTCCCCTCTTTTGGCTGTAAGCAGCCAGTCTCTGGCATTCTCTGGTCGGAGACTTTCCGATCTTTGATGACCTTCGTGCAAGGAATTCACATAGAACTCCCGTCAACCAGTGAGGGCGACAAACATCAGAACATCAGTCTGTCCAGTTGGAGTTTGGCTTTGGTGGTCGCCCCTCCCCCCTCCCCTGGGTGAAGTGAGTCAAGTGTTTAAAGCTTTTATGCCTACGCAGCACGCCAACATCACCACAAGCAGCAGCCGAACGTCGTCCCGCGAACACTGCAGGAGCAGCGACGACACTCAGAAACCGCTCCAACATCGCTTTGAATTCACTCCCGAAACCACTGCAACGTACCGGGCACTCAGATCATCCTGAGATCACTCCAACATCACTCCGAGACCTTGCAAGAGTGGATTCCGAGAGATTCTCTACCTGAAAACAGAGAGTGGGTTCCTGTCCATCAAGGCCATCGCCACTCCTGGCTGATCCTTCCAAAGCCCCTGGCCCCAGGTCTCCGCCAGGGCCTTCCTGGGAATTGGGATGCTGCATTGCTTGTTCTGGTCAACCCGTGTCCTGAGCCGAATCCCACTTCGGTCTCCAGTTAGCGCATCCTGGAAGGTTCTGATCCTGCCGAGGTGATGATTCGGAATGAGTACCTGGGCTACGAGGAGCTGAACTTCCGTCGGCACCGCGAGTTCACACGCTCTTGAGGCTAGAGGCTCTCCACACATCTTCGAGCTCGCGAGGATTGCTTCATATTGACTCACCAGCTGGCACGTCCGTTCGCGCCTCAGAAGTGAGCTACGGTCAGTGTTGCTGGTGTGCTTCACAGCCTGCATTGCTTTTGCTTTTATGTCGCTTTGAGTGTTTGAGCTTTTCCAAGCTCATGCTGGTAGGCAGCTGTGGGCGTTTCCTTGGCAATGCCGTTACGATTCTTTTGGCCTGTTTTGATTTCAGTGTGTGTGTGTGTGTCTCAAAGTCGCTTCATTTTGGGGAGGGGCGGAGAATGATGGGCGCATTTCTCGAAATGATCTCGATTCGGTGTTTGGATTTCTTTACACTCGGGCGCACATCTCGAATTTATTTCGATTTGGTGTCTGGATGTCTGTACACTCATTCTGGGAGGGGGGAAGTATGGGTGCATTTCTCGAACATATTTCGATTGAGTGTTTGGATTTCTTTACACTCCTTTTGGGGAGGGGGCCTTTAAGGGCGCATCTCTCGAATCTATTCGATTTGGTGTATGCGTTTCCGGACACTTATTTTGTGGAAGGGGGAATTATGGGCGCATTTCTCGAGTTTATTTCGATTTGGGGTGTTTGGGTTTCTTTACGGTCATTTTGAGGAGGGGTGAATTATGGGCGGTGTTTTTCGAAGTTTTTCCGATCCGGTGTGTGGATCTCTTTACCCATCGTTTTGTGGGGAGAAATTACGGGCGAGTTTCTCGAAAGCGTTTCGATATAGTGTTCGGATTTCTTTACAGTCTTTTTGGAGAGGGGGTTTTGGATGCATTTCTAGTACAGCGGGGTGAACGAAAGGTTCCGTTGAACGGATGGTGC